TAAATCCGTGAAACTGTCCACCCTTTCTATATCAGCATTTTCCCTATCACTGTGAAGTGATACACATCACATCTAGCATTAGACATCGGTAAAGGAACGTGGATACGACAAGTAGAAATAAAATCCTTTAAGAAGTCTTGTATTAAAAATACCGCAACCATTATGTTGCATACTTTCTTTGCGTGTGGGATCGTATGATCACTTAAGTCAAAATCAGTTAACACCTTAGTAAAGGAAACCATTTCAAGTGCATCGACAGCTGTGTCCAAAAAAACACCCCTGTCTGGAATTACCTGATACATGAAATAAGACAGACCAGATATGTGATATCAGACATGTTAGAACAGACCAGATATATGATATAAGACATGTTAGGACAGACCAGATATGTGATATTAGAAATGTAAGGACAGACCAGATATGTGATATTAGAAATGTTAGGATAGACCAGATATGTGGTATTAGAAATGTTAGCTCAGACCAGATATATGATATTGGAAATGTTAGGACAGACCAGATATGTGATATTAGACATGTTAGGACAGACCAGATATGTGATATTAGACATGTAAGGACAGACCAGATATGTGATATTAGAAATGTTAGCTCAGACCAGATATATGATATTGGAAATGTTAGGACAGACCAGATATGTGATATTAGACATGTTAGGACAGACCAGATATGTGATATTAGACATATAAGGACAGACCAGATATGTGATATTAGACATGTTAGCTCAGACCAGATATATGATATTGGAAATGTTAGGACAGACCAGATATGTGATATTAGACATGTAAGGACAGACCAGATATGTGATATTAGACATATAAGGACAGACCAGATATGTGATATCAGACATGTTAGGACAGACCAGATATGTGATATCAGGCATGTTAGGACAGACCAGATATGTGATATTAGAAATGCTAGCTCAGACCAGATATATGATATTGGAAATGTTAGGACAGACCAGATATGTGATATTAGACATGTTAGGACAGACCAGATACGTGATATTAGACATGTAAGGACAGACCAGATATGTGATATTAGAAATGTAAGGACAGACCAGATATGTGATATTAGACATGTAAGGACAGACCAGATATGTGATATCAGACATGTTAGGACAGACCAGATATGTGATATTAGACATGTTAGGATAGACCAGATATGTGATATTAGACATGTAAGGACAGACCAGATATGTGATATTAGACATGTTAGGACAGACCAGATATGTGATATTAGACATGTAAGGACAGACCAGATATGTGATATTAGACATGTAAGGACAGACCAGATATGTGATATCAGACATGTTAGGACAGACCAGATATGTGATATTAGAAATGTTAGGACAGACCAGATATGTGATATTAGACATGTTAGGACAGACCAGATATGTGATATTAGACATGTAAGGACAGACCAGATATGTGATATTAGACATGCTTGGACAGACCAGATATGTGATATTAGACATGCTTGGACAGACCAGATATGTGATATTAATGTTGCCGTGTTACCGAGTGTAAATTTGATGAATTGAATTATTGCGATCGTATTTAGAAATTACGATTACCTCATGAAGCATATTGCAAAATATATTGCTATGTCAATTTGATATCAATATTTAATGTGCCTATGTAAACAGTCAGTCTAGCATATTTATCCATTACAACAGCTATATACTGACATGATACCTTTGCTTATTTGGGTTAACAATATTGCCACCCATTTTTGTTCGAAGCTTGAAACGCTACAGAAGGGATCTTCCACAGGCCAAATTTTGGTGTGTCAACAATCTTCAGTGTTGTGCAATTTAGGAGAATAGGGTCAGTATCACGGCTAGTACTGTGTACTTCTTGTAATTCATCTTTTAATTCTTTTAATTGAAACAAATATGATATCACTTTTTCAACAGCAAGAATACTGCCAGATATTTTCGCGGGAATGATATTTCCGCTATTTGAAATTAGTACGTGATATAATAAGACACGTGTAGTCATATCCAGATCGCGAAATTTTCATTCGTTAAACCATGATTTATAACCTTTTTATCAGAAAATCGCAATATCTAACCCGCGAAAATACTAGACATACTGTATTCATCAGTCACAAATTTGCGATATCACAATCCATATTGATTAAGACAAATTAAAAGTTAAATGATAGTAAATGGGTTTAAAAATAGCCGTGAAGTGACAGTGAGGCACTTCAATATATTTGACTGACTACAATGTAGAAAAAGTACAAGACGGATACGACTAAATGTTCCGGAAGAGTAAGCGTCTTTTGCTACATCAACAACATCCCTCTATGTAAACCTTGGCCAATCGATGCAAGTATTGTCACGTTCTCAAATAGAACAATGGAACCAACTGGCAAATCAACGAGCATCAAACACGTCCAGCTTTATATCGCACAAAGAAATATTTTCTTGGGAAAATATCAAATGAAATATCACACCAACTGATATTAAATATTTTGTTGAAGAAATCAGCATACATAGTGATTGAGGGAAGAAGATATTTTTGAAGACAGATTTATATCTTCCGTATAATGTCATAAGATTGTGGTGTAAAGTATCGTCTATTTATTTAATAGTAATTTTCATATGTTGATATGTGTTTAAAAGTCGAGTAATTATTTATTGTATCAGGCGGAAGTTCCGCATTAACGTGTTCCGTCCAGGATCTAAACGTGCGGAGAGGAAAGTCTGTCAATTACGTGTGGAGAGGAAAGTCTATCACTTACGTGTGGAAAGGAAAGTCTATCACTTACGTGTGGAAAGGAAAGTCTGTCACTTATGTGTAGAGAGGAAAGTCTGTCAGTTACGTGTAGAGAGGAATGTCTATCACTTACGTGTGGAGAGGAAAGTCTGTCACTTACGTGTAGAGAGGAATGTCTATCACTTACGTGTAGAGAGGAAAGTCTGTCAGTTACGTGTGGAGAGGAAAGTCTGTCAATTACGTGTGGAGAGGAAAGTCTATCACTTACGTGTGGAAAGGAAAGTCTGTCACTTATGTGTAGAGAGGAAAGTCTGTCACTTACGTGTAGAGAGGAATGTCTATCACTTACGTGTGGAGAGGAAAGTCTGTCACTTACGTGTAGAGAGGAATGTCTATCACTTACGTGTAGAGAGGAAAGTCTGTCAGTTACGTGTGGAGAGGAAAGTCTGTCAATTACGTGTGGAGAGGAATGTCTATCACTTACGTGTGGAGAGGAATGTCTATCACTTACGTGTAGAGAGGAAAGTCTGTCACTTACGTGTAGAGAGGAATGTCTATCACTTACGTGTGGAGAGGAATGTCTATCACTTACGTGTAGAGAGGAATGTCTATCACTTACGTGTAGAGAGGAAAGTCTGTCAGTTACGTGTGGAGAGGAAAGTCTGTCAGTTACGTGTGGAGAGGAAAGTCTGTCACTTACGTGTAGAGAGGAATGTCTATCACTTACGTGTAGAGAGGAAAGTCTGTCACTTACGTGTAGAGAGGAATGTCTATCACTTACGTGTGGAGAGGAATGTCTATCACTTACGTGTAGAGAGGAATGTCTATCACTTACGTGTAGAGAGGAATGTCTATCACTTACGTGTAGAGAGGAATGTCTATCACTTACGTGTAGAGAGGAATGTCTATCACTTACGTGTAGAGAGGAAAGTCTGTCACTTACGTGTGGAGAGGAATGTCTATCACTTACGTGTAGAGAGGAAAGTCTGTCACTTACGTGTAGAGAGGAAAGTCTGTCAGTTACGTGTAGAGAGGAAAGTCTGTCACTTACGTGTGGAGAGGAAAGTCTGTCACTTACGTGTAGAGAGGAATGTCTATCACTTACGTGTAGAGGGTCTATCACTTACGTGTGGAGAGGAAATCACTTACGTGTAGAGAGGAATGTCTATCACTTACGTGTGGAGAGGAAAGTCTGTCACTTACGTGTGGAGAGGAATGTCTATCACTTACGTGTAGAGAGGAATGTCTATCACTTACGTGTAGAGAGGAATGTCTATCACTTACGTGTAGAGAGGAAAGTCTGTCACTTACGTGTGGAGAGGAATGTCTATCACTTACGTGTAGAGAGGAATGTCTATCACTTACGTGTAGAGAGGAAAGTCTGTCAGTTACGTGTAGAGAGGAAAGTCTGTCACTTACGTGTAGAGAGGAAAGTCTGTCACTTACGTGTGGAGAGGAATGTCTATCACTTACGTGTAGAGAGGAATGTCTATCACTTACGTGTAGAGAGGAAAGTCTGTCACTTACGTGTAGAGAGGAATGTCTATCACTTACGTGTGGAGAGGAAAGTCTGTCACTTACGTGTAGAGAGGAAAGTCTGTCACTTACGTGTAGAGAGGAAAGTCTGTCACTTACGTGTGGAGAGGAAAGTCTGTCACTTACGTGTGGAGAGGAATGTCTATCACTTACGTGTAGAGAGGAAAGTCTATCACTTACGTGTAGAGAGGAAAGTCTGTCACTTACGTGTAGAGAGGAATGTCTATCACTTACGTGTAGAGAGGAATGTCTATCACTTACGTGTAGAGAGGAAAGTCTGTCAGTTACGTGTAGAGAGGAAAGTCTGTCACTTACGTGTGGAGAGAGAAGTGTCTATCACTTACGTGTGGAGAGGAAAGTGTGACACTTATGTGTAGAGAGGAATGTCTATCACTTACGTGTGGAGAGGAAAGTCTGTCACTTACGTGTGGAGAGGAAAGTCTGTCAGTTACGTGTGGAGAGGAAAGTGTGACACTTACGTGTAGAGAGGAAAGTGTGACACTTACGTGTAGAGAGGAATGTCTATCACTTACGTGTGGAGAGGAAAGTCTGTCAGTTACGTGTGGAGAGGAAAGTCTGTCAGTTACGTGTGGAGAGATTCCTGCGTTACGGACGCTTTGTCACCTACATATGGATAAGTTAGTTCACGGGGAAAGGGAAAGCCGATGTCTAACGAGCAGAGATGAAGAATTTATCGCTTACGCATGGATTGGATAGCATGTCATTTACGAAGGAAGGGAAAAGCCTATCGGCGAATTTTGTGAGCAAAATCCGACCTCTTAATTATTTGTGTATAGGTATAACGCAGGAGATGTGTATGACTAATAGCCTGGGGCATAACGACGTGTACAAACCACCAAATAGACAGTTAAGTCAGTGTGTATAGGATTAGTGATAGTATGTGCCATGTTAAGTGTAACACCATGGTTTGATCAGTGACAACACCAGCCAAAAGTTGTGTTGCAGAAGGCGTTCCCTTCTCTATGTGACTTCTAATTGGAGATATGTTAGTGTAGCAAAGTAGATCAGTGGTGAAATTTCAGACTACTTTTTGATATTGTTGAAGTTGGAGATCTTTGACTGTGATAAGATTTGAAGTTACTTACCATGGAATGATTTATCTGTAACAATGTCAATCTAAGTATTAATGTTTCACAGCAACCAAGCTTAAGATTTAAAAGTATAAAAACACAACTCTCTATAGTGATGTTTATCACAGGACAGCAACCCCTGTTGTGGTATATTTGGATGTAACACCGATACAGTTCAAACTAGATAAACATTTGAATGTTACATTTTGATGTGACTAGAATCACAGATTTTTTTTTATTATTTTCTATTATCCAGCTGAGATGAAGATTGCTTAAAACGAGGTTGAGACAACTTTCACGTGTCTACAAGCATTCGGACTTTTTAGCGACAACATTTTGTTCAATTGACAAGTCAAAAAGTTACAGGATTCGTGTGACAAAACCTCAAAGTGGCAGTTTTTTATGTGTCAGAACCTAAAAGTAGCAGTTTTCTTTTATTGAGACAAAAAATCATAAAGTGGCACTTTTCGTGCGACAAAAACTCGTAAAGTTGCAGTTTTCTTGTGACAAAATTTCTAAGAGGCAGTGTATGTGTGACAAAGATTCATAAAGTGGCACTTTTCGTGTGACCAGTTGTAAAGTGGCAGTTTTTGTGTGATGATCGGGATCAACAGTGACAAGTCAATTTGTTAATTGCGTGGTGATTTTTTTCACGATGGATGCTAACACCACAATGGACGTTCCAACCTTATCTATGATCGAATTTCAAGATTACATTGAGAATGACATCCCCGTGTCTATCTATCTCACCATCCTCAGCGTTATTGGCACTGTCGGTAATGTGCATGCTGTATTTGTTTATTTTCTTCGTTACAAACCATCAAATCACAGGACTTTTGTGGTTTGGTTAGCGGCTATTGATTTCATCGCATGTTTGTTCAGTATACCCTTTGAACTCTTTGACATTCGGTTCAGTTGCACGTTCACTATAGACGGCCTATGCCGCTTCTTCCGGTATCTCGGCCATTTTGTCAGCATGAGCAGCGGTTCACTTCTTGGGGTGATAGCGGTAGAGAGATTCCGAAAGGCATGCCGACCATTCGATAGACAATTAGAAGGAAGAGGTGCAATGATCGCTTGTATTGTCACTGTTGTAATATCTGCTGTGATATCGATACCTGCTCTGGTGATGTATGGATCCCAGGTCGAAATAGTCGATAACTATGATATAAACGGAACGGACTGTAAAGTTCTAGACAAATTCAAGGACAGTTTAGTGTTCAAAGGGTTCAACTTGTTGCTGTTGTTTATAAGTACCGCTGTGTTCATAGCGTGTGTCGTTATCTATATATTCATTGGACGTGTATTATACCAACAGTACAAGTTTAGAAGTTCGCTCCAGGTGAAAAAATCTGTTTCTACAGTAATGGACAAGTCTGTATCCTCGGACACCCTCCACACCATGCAGGAGGAGGAATCAAGCATGGCAAATCCCGTAATGTCAAGGACGAAAATATTTGGACAGAACGGAGATAAACCGATGAAAATTAAACCAAAGAATCCCAAACGATTCGATAGGAGCAAACAAATCACTTTAATGTTTCTTGTAGCTACTGGTGTGTCGTATTTGGGTTATCTCCCCTCCTTGATTCTCACGCTCATCAAAGCAGCTTCGAAGAATTCAAATAATGTTATCGACAGTCTTCTAGGTCCAGTCGGTGGTATTTTCCTGAGAGGTTACTTTATAAGTAATGTTACAAATCCACTTGTCTACTGTTTCCTCGACGACAAATTCCGTGAGGAATGCAAAGCAATGTATAAAATACTAGGGATGCGAATTAGTAAGTGTTTCCATCGTCCATCATCCAGGTGATAACTTCCGGTTTAAATATAATGATCTAGGAGATACCAGATTTTATTCTCATCAGTCAACACATATGAAATAATTTGTGTTTGTGTTCATGTCCAGTTAAGGTATTATTCAATAAGCTAATGTAACTAGCAGTCTGAAGGTAATACTGAGCGGACAGCGCTCTGATGTTCTTCCTTATAAATAAACGTACATAGAATCCATACGAAAACATTATTACACATCTTGGAGTTAATGGAAAGACGAACCGCATACCATTATCTAATTTTTCTTCTTATCTACACACAATTACGTATGTAGTGTCAACACTCCTTTTTTTACCTTGGGCTGAGACGAGCTGCAAAACCGGAAGTAGAAATAAGTAATTAAATGGAGTATGATGATTAGATGTTGTTAACTCTTCGTGTGTCTATTCTATTGTTTATTTATATTTTAAGTGTAGTGAAACGAATGAATTAAATATGACAGGAAACAAAAATGCTGTTTTTTTTAAAGTGAAATAAATTTGGTCTTTCTCATGCCTCGAGTAGTTTTCATATGACAGGCACTTTTGTATCTCACTCTACCTATCCAAAGACAGGATAGGTATTAAGTTCGTGGGGTAGAGCGAACATATCAGGGAGGTCACAAACCCGGATTCTGATATATGTTACACATATGTAGATGTAACGAATGTGTGGAGGAAGATAATCTAACACGACTCCACTTACGTCGTCATCATCATCATCATCATCATCATCATCATCATCATCGTCGTCGTCGTCGTCATCGTCGTCGTCGTCGTCGCCGCCGCCATTAATAATATTCTACACTTACAGGAAATGTTCATTTATAGATTTTCTGTAGTTTTTAAGAGGCATATGTTTTAGTTTTAAAATGCTAGTAAAATTGTAAGAATTCAGCTGATGTGTGTTGCTGTATCTAATAACCAGAGGTAAGTAGCATAGAATATTTGGTAGATGAAAGAGCTGAAACATTATTAGGAATCTTATGAGATCACTCGGTTTGTTTCGTGAATTTTTTTCAAATGTATTTTATTTTTGTTCACAAAAAACAGTAGTGAACAAACACCAACCAATTTACGAAGACAGAGCGAACGAACTTCTGTGAGCGAGATACGATTAGGAATTCTTTTATAACCAGAATTCACCATTTCAAAAAGTCACATTATGACCCATTGACAGTTGCATCACATCTTGCTTTGGTCAATTCATCTCTACTTCGCCCGGTTTTACACTGTATGGTCTGATTTCCGGTTAACGACAGTTTAATTCCCCTACTTAAACTTATTGAATTATATCTATTTTACAAGGCTGCGATCTCTCGTGTTTCAAGGATGAGTCAAAGTCCCTTAAAACTGTCATTTTTACTGATAGGATGTGCCAAGCACAAAATGTTCTTACAGACGTAATATATAGTTTGACGAAAGACTTACTTGACCTTTGGAACTTTTGCTATTTGATACAAACTTTCTTATTATACATTGTACAGTAATTGTGTACTGGTCTGGGGGCTGACAGGCGGGCACATGTGTACTGGTCTGGGGGCGGACAGGCGGGCACATGTGTACTGGTTTGGGAGGCGGACAGGCGGGCACATGTGTACTGGTTGGTGGGGATGGACAGGCGGGCACATGTGTACTGGTTTGGGAGGCGGACAGGCGGGCACATGTGTACTGGTTTGGGGGGCGGACAGGCGGGAACATGTGTACTGGTTGGTGGGGGGCGCACAGCCTGGTATGTGTACTGGTTTGGGGAGCGGACAGGCGGGCACATACGTACTGGTTTAGGGGGTGGACAGGCGGGCACATGTGTACTGGTTCGTGGGGGGCGCACAGACGGGCACATGTGTACTGGTTTAGGGTCGGACAGGCAGGCACATACGTACTGGTTTAGGGGGTGGACAGGCGGGCACATGTGTACTGGTTTGGGGGCGGACAGGCGGGCACATGTGTACTTCGTGGGGGGGGGGACACAGCCTAGTATGTGTGCTGGTTTGGGGAGCGGACAGGCGGGCACATGTGTACTGGTTTGGGGAGCGGACAGGCGGGCACATGTGTACTGGTTTGGGGGGCGGACAGGCGGGCACATGTGTACTGGTTTGGGGGGCGGACAGGCGGGAACATGTGTACTGGTTGGGGGGGGGCACAGCCTGGTATGTGTACTGGTTTGGGGAGCGGACAGGCGGGCACATACGTACTGGTTTAGGGGTTGGACAGGCGGGCACATGTGTACTGGTTTGGGGGGCGCACAGACGGGCACATGTGTACTGGTTTAGGGTCGGACAGGCAGGCAAATACGTACTGGTTTCGGGGGTGGACAGGCGGGCACATGTGTACTGGTTTGGGGGCGGACAGGCGGGCACATGTGTACTGGTTTGGGGAGCGGACAGGCGGGCACATGTGTACTGGTTTAGGGTCGGACAGGCAGGCACATACGTACTGGTTTAGGGGGTGGACAGGCGGGCACATGTGTACTGGTTTGAGGGGCGGACATACGGACATATATGTACTGGTTTAGGGGGCGGAAAGGCGGGCATATATGTACTAGTTTCGAGTGCGGACAGGCTTGTACATGTGTAATGGTTTGAGGGGGTGGACAGGCGGACACATGTGTACTGGTTTGGGGGCGGACAGGCGGGAACATGTGTACTGGTTTGGGGGCGGACATACGGACACGTGTGTACTGGTTGGTGGGGGGCGGACATGCTGCAACATATGTGCTGGTTTAGGGGGCGGACATGCGGCCACGTGAACTGGTTTAGGGGGCGGACAGGCGGGCACACATGTACTGCTTTATGGGCGGACAGGCAGGCACATATGTACTGGTTTAGAGGGTGGACAGGCGGGCACATGTGTACTGGTTTCGGGGGCGGATAGACAGGCACATGTGTAATGGCTGGTGGGGAGCGCGGACAGGCGGGCACATGTGTATTGTATTAGGGGCTGACAGGCGGGTACATGTGTGCTGGCTGGTGGGGGGGGGCGGACATGCGGCAACATGTGTACAGGTTTGGGGTCGGACAGACAGGCACATGTGTACTGGTCTGGGGGCGGACAGGCGGGCACATGTGTACTGGTTTGGGAGGCGGACAGGCGGGCACATATGAACTGGTTTAGGGGCGGACAGACAGGCACATGTGTAGTGGTGTAGGGGGGTGGCCAGGCGGGCACATGTGTACCGGTTTGGGGGCGGACAGACAGGCACATGTGTACTGGTCTGGGGGCGGACAGGCGGGCACATGTGTACTGGTTTTAGGGAAGTTATTCTTGGAATGCTTCCTGACAGGTAGTACTGACCACAAATTTGTTGCGTGATCGATCTGTTCTGGCGCATCATGTGTCTATTGGTGGATGATTTCCCGACAATTTTCTTGATTTATCATCGTGATATATATATGTTACCTGGGTTTTCTTTCTGTTCAGAACATGTTATGACTTCGTCTGAATAGTGTATTCCAATAGTGTAAAGTTAAAAAGTGGAGACCAACCTTGTAATTTATTGTTCAAAATATACTAATCTTATCCGTATTGTTCGTTCCATACTGATAAAACATGGAAAACGGAAACTCTCAAATTTGCCTTGCATTCATTCCAAGTGGCAAAATCCGGTTTAATTTCTTCGAACACCTTCCGTGTTCATTTAATTTAGATAGGGAAGCACCAGACGTGTGGAAACTATTTCAGTCACTGTGTATCTTTCATAGGGAAAATTTACATTATTTTATTTTTCTTTATGAAACCAATTTTTGTATTCATTTTTTATAATAAATATTCTGGAAGTATTTATAATTTGCATTAAAATTAGGTCCACAATTCTTAAAAATTTACATTTTATTTTATCATATCTTATGGTAATTAATTTCTATTTTTCTAAAAATGATAAGCCCTAGCTGGGAAATTCCCGTATTTTGAGTTAACGCCGGAAATGTCTCGCCACTAATCTTTGTTAGAGTGTTTTTGTATTTGACCAACCTAAGTCTATTTTTCATTATACAAACTTCCTTTTTTTGTACTGGTCATCCTGCCTTAAAAGCAGTATATTGATAAATAACTCAAGTTACATATTTACAAAGGCTTAAGTCACTTTGATTCATTTCGGCCAGTCCTGACACTTACTAAAACCTATTGTAATAGGATACTGACAAGGTGAGCAGGTTCAATTAGCCGGGCTAACAAAGCAGTGTGACGTAACCGAGCATTACGGCCGTGTTGAGTAAATAGATTTTGTTAAGAGCCAACGTGTAGCTGTGAGCAATCTGAGCATGCGCTACAAACTGGTCAGCCAATCAGAGTCTAACCTTTCACGGACAGTCCCTTGAATTACTTGTGTTTTCCCCCAAATCTTCACTTCTACTTGGGATGAAATAAAGTAAAACATCAACTTAACAGGCTGTCTCCTTGCTGTTTTTCAGGTGAGCCTATGTCATATTTCTTGTTATATATTGTACGATGTTTTGAAATCTAAGACATTACTGTAAACAAGCTTATAAATTTTATACTAATTATTGTACATTTTATAATTTAAAATAGAATATATGTCATATTATTAGTCTTATTAATATTCATTGCATACCAAATGTGTCATATTTTTGTAATTACATATGTGTTGTGAATTAAGGAAAATTCTTAACGGGGAAAATATTACGTTACAAGTAATGCTTTGAAGCTTAGCATAATCAATATACGCCTTACAAAATACTGGTGCCCTACCTAGCTAAATTATCAGCTAAGATTTATCTCCCCTTTCGGTCACTTTGTTCGACATGTCTTTTATTGTACAGGTATATGTTTGCTAGGTTTTTATTTGATTATATCTTCTGAACCTAAGATTTATATGTAAATTAGAGCCAAATCATGAATTGTTTACAGTTACCCATTCACTTGTTCAAATCAGAAAATCTGGTGTGTGTACTCATTGTATAAACAATGAAATGCATATTCCTACATATAGCTGGTCAAATCTGTTGAGACATTTGAACTAAGCAGTTATCAAATGCTTGCTAGCTCTATATAAACTTTATAAATCATGGTTCAGAAAGCTTGTTTCGCAATATTGATTAATTGTGTAAGTGTTATGCTCATTGAGACTGTTATAATTGCTTTGTCAAAATAATCAAATATCTGTCAAGTCTTAAACCGGAAGTCAAATATTGATACCGGAAGTAAGTTTGTCTACCGGAAGTAACAATGTAAACCGGAAGTAGCTGTCAAATGTAAACAATCCTATAACATTACATTGTCATTGAATTAACACTGGAGCTTTAATATTACAAAGCAATTATTCTTAGTCTTTGATAATGTAAAATGAAGTAGGCACTGCCTAAAAACGAGCGCAAGTTGGTCAAGAAAGTGCACATTTTGAACAGCCTGATCCATGTTTGCACTGAAGCGTGTTCTTTTTTTTTTTTTTTTTTTTAATTTGTTGTTTATTTCGCAAGATTTGAACAAAACATCGACATATACAAATGTACCAATATATCATCATCATCAGCAGCAGCAGCAACACATCTTCTTCTTCTAGAAAACATTGTATCACCATGATCAGGCGGTGGTTTGGTGGCACAGTTGTAATGTAACACACTTGTCTATTTTCTAGCCATTCGGGGTTCGATTCCCCGAAGGGATAGAAAGGATACAGGTTTCCTCCCAAAGTTAGACCACTCTCTTGCTTACAACAAGTGTGATTTTTATAAGAAATAACAAATGTAGTAAGTCATGTACATACTCTCTTGCTTACAACAAGTGTGATTTTTCATATATATATATATATTAATATTACAACAAGTTAATTTCTATTTGTTATTTCTAATTGTTTCATACACAGTATTGAAATGGAGAACTTCTACTAGAGTACTAGCTTGATGCCTGTACAATGTTTTGAGTATCGGGTAATTACCTTGAATGGTTTAAGATAACTGGTTTGAAAAACGTTTTGTGGTTTGGCCTATGTTTCCATGGTAACAGAAAAAGTATTTAAATGGCAATCTTCCCCATAGCAGAAGAGACTACTAGCTTATTAAGTGTAAACAGTTTTGAGCAATTACCTTGTCAGAGTATTGGCCCAGAAAATTTTTTTTGAAATTTTGATGAGGGTCATCGGTTTCAATGGTAACAATAAATGTATTTAAAAAGTCATTGACAACATATCTAGACTATAACAATTGATAAAAAAGATCTTCAAAATAAATGCATAAGAGTTTCCCTTTTAGAGTTACAGATATTGCAGAGAGGACTTTCTATCATCTTTGCTTTAAAAAAAGAAAGGATTTTTCAAAAAATGGTGAAAGACAACATATTATAGTTTTAGTCGGATTTGTAAAGTTGGTGCTTATATATTTAACAAGTTTTCATTATAAAAATCACAATGTTCTCTCCCGCCGTTTTCTTTTCTCTTTGCTATTGAGAGTTTTCGTTCTGTCCATTAACAAATCATAAAATGCTTCAGAACCTTCGGTTTTTTAAGCAATTTGAACTTGTCCTGGTAGCAAAAAGAAGGTAAAGTTATAATCACTGTTGAGACTATTCTGTTATACATTGTAATTAAGAAAATCAATATAAATATATCTGTTTAAATAAAATTCTTCAGAAAGCCACAATATATAACATAAACTGCATTATTCTGGACCCCCACCCCCACAAAAAATTACCACCAATAGTTATTTTATCATTGTGCCTTATAAGTGTTTGCTGGAAATTTTCTAAACACATGATCATAATTAGTTATCGAAAGAACATCCTAATCTTGCAGAATTAATATAGTTAGGAGATGGGCGAGTTTTTCGTCAAATCGGGACCTTACGTCACTTTCCGTGAACGAGAAACACATCGTCTCGTTCACGGAAAGTGACGAAAGGTCCCGAACATTAAACCGGAGATCAGGTACATCGGAGCACAATCGAGCTCAAATCTTGAATGGTTAAAATTGCAATTTTTCAACGAGATGTTTGTTATATACGTTTCAAACCATTAAAGTATATGTTTGTTAAATTCATCTGATATATTTAAGATTTTTAGTATGATTTCATCTCTATTTGAGAGCTAAAAACGATATTTTGTCGGTCAAAATAATTTTTAATCCATTCAATGGGT